TTTCATTAACTGTGTCCGAATGATACTTCTTCATTAAATTGCAGAATCGGAGAGCAATATCATAATGTTATCAACAATTTAAAAAGTCCAAATGGCTGGATTGACTTACAATTGTCTTCTTTGTTCGGCCGTAATTAGGGCCTTGAGACTGCGACCACAAAAAAAGACCACACCATCTTGGTCTTCATACTTTCAATCAAACTGGGAAACCTTTTTTACATTTCGGTCAGCTCAGTAAATGTGCTATTGTCATTTAGCAAGTTTAATCTCATATATTATTTTGAGGTATTAGATACTATGCACTTTCCTATTCTCAGCTAGCATTTCCTTTGTTGTTTCTTGAATATCCATGCGAGTGTTTCGGCAATAGCAGCAAATAAAACACCTTATTTTCTGAATTTTGTGATAAGGTTTTCTGAATATTTTGCTATCAATTAGCTAATCTAATGAACTATCAAAATAATTAGCATCCCGACTATCAACTTTAAGTTGGAGGCATGACTAATTTTCCACTTTACAATTAAATACTTCCCAATATTTTATTGAAGTAATTTTAATGACTTTCGATGATATTTCATTTTTTTAATAAATTATCTCCGGGGGATCGATATATGACTATGAAAAACTTAATGAAATAAGACTGACTGAGAACTGAAAAATATTTGAGTTATGCTTATTTGACAAATTGTCCGCTTTAAGGCAGCAAAGCCATCTATACCGTAAGGCTAAAGTTACTTTTAGTAAAATTGTCACATAATTAACTTTACAAACTTTGCTTTCCTATAATGGTTAATTTCTATGATGACTGCTTGTTTTTTACCTTCTGTTCATTGAATTCGCTGAGTATTTATATCATAAAATCATGTTCCGTGAAACCAGATGCATATGCATACCATTCTACTAACTAGAATATATGTATTCCTAAAGAGAAGAAATGATTAAATCATATTTTGTAGGTTGAGACTAAAAAGCGTCATTTTCATTCTTTCTATTATGAAAAAGGATGAAAACCAACAGTGATTATAATCCGGTTGTCTACTCTTTTTCTCTTCAAATGCTTCAAAATACTTTGAGTTCGCACAATAATGGTGTTCAAATTGCTTTTTTTGTAGGCCACTTGCTTATTAAAACGAATGATATATGCACTCATTGGTTGCTCTCTTTGCCTGTCCTTGTCTCCATTATCCAATTAGGTTCATGCACGATCCCGAGGTCCGGTTACAGCTTTAACCAGACAGCCGACTGAGGGTCGCAGCCGCGAAGGCGGCCTTCGCGTCGGCGAGATGGAACGTGACTGTTTCATAGCTTATGGTGCAAGTCACTTACTTGTAGAACGCCTTCTTCTCTCTAGCGACGCCTACGAGGCGGTTGTGTGTGAGACCTGTGGTCTGTTGGCCTCGTCACGAACCTGGTGTCAGTATTGCAGAAGTAGTCGGAGCGTGGCTACTGTTCGTATGCCCTATGCCTGTAAGTTGCTTATTCAAGAGCTGATGTGCATGCGGATCCTCCCTCGCCTTGGACTTACAACTGCTTATCAGAATCGTAATGTCCTCCCTTCAGGCCTCATTCACTGAGCTTTGTTTCTTTTTGAGCCGTTGGGAACTTACTTCCGTATGCCATATACTAAGCGCAATTATATGCACTTATGATTTTAATTGTGGCTTTTGATCTTTACTAGCTGCATGTAAAATAACTTTCTTCATATCATTTCATATAAGAGACTTACTGTCACTTTTAAACTTCAAATGATTTTGGGTCTGCCGGACATCGTCAAAACTGTTTTTTTTCATTTTCAAACTTTTCTTTGATTTTTTTTACTTTGCCAGAATTATGTATTTATTTTACTCAGCCAAGATGACGACGTACTTGACACATCCTACAAGATCTAGGTGTGATTTTTA